TCATTGCTTTTGTAAGTAAGGAAATAGGCGTTGTTGTAAAGTAGACAATAAGTAACTTATAGTTTTACTTATAAGTTATACTTATAGTTATACTTGTAAGTTATATCCGGTCACCGTCCTCGTCGAACCCGTCGCTTGCGACGAAGGGCTCGACGAGCGAATTAACCCATAGACACAGCCCACTGAGTTTCTCGCCGGATGTTCTCAGTGGGTTGCGTTTCCGATCCGGTGGTAGATTCTGCGAAGCACTGCTCTTGATAGGGTCAGTATTAGCATCACTCCGGTTTGAGCCCCGTGAGCTCACGTACTAGTTAAGGTTACGCTGAAATAGCCTCTCAAGGCTATCAGCTTAGGTAGGAAAAAAAGTTATGCTTATAACTATAGTTATACTTATAGTTACACTTATAGTTATTGGCTGTGTAGTTTTCGGTTTAGGATAGCACGAAATGCATAGAAATGCACGAAATGCATACAATAGCATGCTTTCTCCTCCCCTGAGTGTCGTAAAAAAGGCTCATCCACGAATAAGATGCATCGCTTCTAAATATGATGTCAGCGTACCACAAACGCCAACCGGCATTTGTTGATGGCAGATCATAACGGATGGGTACTACCATTCTATTTTAATTGTGCTGCATACGTGTGTTCTAATTTGGTTGCCACGCCAAATGTACGGGTTCCCAACAGAAGCCAAATGTCGACACAGCACCAGAAAAGCCTTGCAGCTTTGTACTGGAGTTGAAGTTTGATATATTAAATCTGTTATGTGCGAAATATTGGTGATGGAACCACCGATTTTTAATAATGCTACGTATTTATTTATAATGCTACGCAAAAAATTGGGCTTTGAGGGAGCTTTCTTTTGCGGAGCTTTCTCGGCACTGTGGTTTCTTAAAATGAGTTTTGAGAAGATTCCTTAGTAGTAAGCTGAGATTATAGGCGTCTGAAGTCGCTTATGTTTATGACAAACATCAGTAGCCACCATCAGATGGGCTACATGCTCGTCTGCCTATGCATTGAATAAAAAAGGTATTTTTATCATGCTCACAAACATTTTTATCATGTTCACAACAAATCCGAGCTTTAAACACGATCGAATTCAAGATTTCAATAAATGTGCAATTCGTTGGTTGTAACGTATTCGTGTGAGTTATGGCGACGGTGCACGGTGACCGACAAAGCTGCCATATTTCCCGAACGTGCCAAATTAAACAAACATTTCGTCATATTAATTCATGCAACGGCAACGTTGGCGGGGCTTATCATAATTTATGGCCTTAAAGCGAAATTGTTCTGGGAATCCCATAATTTAATACTTTTGCACATGTCCGAAATGATCCGATGACACATGTGCTCTTGGCTTATCTAACCATGTCCGGCAAACATTGGATAATGTATTAGACGAATAAATAAATAATATATTAGTAAATTATTATATTGTATATAATATTATTATATACAAAACGTTGTATAGGAAAATATAAAGGAAAATACGCTTGGCACAATTGTATCGTATGATTCGATTATGTTGATATTAAATCAGACAAGTACGAATATTTCTATTTAACACATGTTCAAGAAAGGCTTTCACAACGAAGTAATAACATCATCTATAATAATAATTAAAAAACCCGCAATAGCCATAAGTTGTGTAATTAATAGTGGATGGGTATACTGTAGGCACACCCAGATAGGTTGTTCTACCTACATATTTACGAAGCAAACTTGTATTGTAGTTTTGAAGGGTTGGAACATTCGTAATGCTACACGAGTGAGAATTGGCATATCGCAAGATTGGTGGTGGCATCCTCATTGTGATGTCAATGGGTCTAATAACATCCTGATGTTAAGTGGCCATCCTGATTTCCATCAGCTTGTTCGCTCGTCTTGTAATATATTATTATTATTATTATTATTATCCTGCCCTTCTCCCAGTTACCTGGGGTCGGCGCAACATGTTTTCTCCTTCCATACTCTTCCATCATATACCATTTCTTCGCTCACTCTTATAAATGAATTAAATAAAAAAAAATTATATCGTTTCGAATCGGAAAAAATACGAAAATTAAAGTACATAATAAGTGAGCTGGAGCTGTGTGCCACTTGGAGTGAGCCACTTAAAACTTTTAAAGTGAGCTATGATTTTAAATAGAAAACGAATAAAATTATATTCGCCGCTGATGTAAATAGGTCTTTCATCTACATCAGGTGGGCCGGATGTCGAGCGGCAATTAGAGCTCATAAAAACACTACACTGATTATACTGTTTTTATTCAAACAAAAACAAAAAAAAAAAATATTTTATCAACATGAAATGCATAGTAAATTTGGTGATGATTATAAGAACTCATAGAAAAGAAAATCTTTTTTTTATAAGTGATCACCGTCACTAATAGAAACTAGTAACAGCATAAACACAACTTCAGAGCCGTTGACGAAGAATACTAATCGAATCATTTTCGGCTTCGTGTTGTTTTATGAATGAAGAGCTTTTGATAGATTTATCGAGTGTGAAGCACAAATTAAAATATTTATAATTTACAATATTTCGTTCTAAGTTAATTTCTAACTTAAGGCAAGTGTAATACTACATTCGAACACATTGAAAGGAGGGACACAATCTTGAGCAGTTGATGGTGACGAGCAAGATAGAGGACAAGCGTTCCAGAGGACGCAGTCCCACGAGATGCTCGGACCAAATTCGGTCTTGTCTAGACATCAAGCTCCACGATGCCCTCTACGAGGCCAAGGATCGCAGCAGATGGAGAACAAACGTACAACAGAGATTGATGCAGCGAGGGAGTCACGACCCTTGGTAATGAGGAGAATGACGCAAGAAGGCGGAAAAATATTACAGAACCGTTTATTTACGAAGTCTGAATTTTGCGTAGAAATAAAAATAAAAAAACCTCATTATTTTGCGAGGAGCAAGAACGTTGCAACAATTAGAAGGGAATTAGTAACAAATTATTGCTTGCGAAGAGGAGGTATAATGGCCGGCAGGGTTGGATGGTTCTCATTAGTGTTCGTCGGTCCCGAGCACAGCCTCGTTGCGGAACCTGCATTATTCATGCGGACAATATTGCACTACCGCACTTACATATATACGCCTACCGTTTTATTTTTGATAAATCATGCAATTCGTACGTTTATTTAATTTACACATGTACCTATCTATTTGTTTTTTTTTTTTAATTTCATACACACCTTTTTTAACTAACCTAGCTTATGAACTACATAATATATGTGGATTGAATAAACCTCTCACATTTAATATTACGTCAGAAATATACACGAAAAAATTTTACATCTAGATATCGAATGATATATATATATATTTAAATATTCCAACCGAGACCTAATTGTGTCAGTAAGACAAGTGATGACCTTGAATGAGTTGGTTCTACCATCGTACTTATTTCAACCACGTAATAAACATATTTCAATTGTAGAACAGGTGTTAAACAATACAATTTCAAACTCCGACCTTTTTTTTTTTATTGCTTAGATGGATGGACGAGCTCACAGCCCACCTGGTGTTAAGTGGTTACTGGAGCCCATAGACATCTACAACGTAAATGCGCCACCCACCTCGAGATATAAGTTCTAAGGTCTCAGTATAGTTACAACGGCTACCCCACCCTTCGAACCGAAACGCATTACTGCTTCACCACGGAAATAGGCGGGGTGATGGTACCTACCCGTGCGGACTCACAAGAGATCCTACCACCAGTGATTACCCAAATTACAATTTTGCGGGTTTGGTTTTTATTACACGATGTTATTCCTTCACCGTGGAAGTCAATCGTGAACATTTGCTGAGTACGTATTTCATTAGAAAAATTGGTACCCGCCTGCGGGATTCGAACACCGGTGCATCGCCACATACGAATGCACCGGACGTCTTATACCACGACGACTTCAAAACCTTACATTTACATTTGGAGCTCCTGTAACGACTTCACAACGTCTGGCCAGACCAGGTAGGTCTTGAGTGGCCTGTTTACTCATTAAGAGCTATAAAATCGATCAAAGAGAAGATTTTATATTTACATATGTATATTATACATGCGACAAAACAATGGACTACAGAAATTCGATTTTTGAATAACAAACAGCATGCCCTAAAAATTCTGTTGTATGGGTGTATATGGACAAAACGTAAATTCCATGCAATCCCCTATGTTAAAGTAATTTGGATCCAATATTCATTAATGGTCGGTTCAATTCTGCGGTATACATTCAGGCCATGAATTAGGAACGGCAAAATGCTCGAGACTGATTAGCAGGAAATCGAAATCGGTCAGTGCAATATCGAAGCCCATTGACGTAACTGTTGGCTGTATTATATCGTTTGTTTTTGGTCAGCTATAAAAGGTTTTTGTTAAATTTCTGCAAACATGCTCATTTTTATGTTACCGATTGGCAAACTTTTATTTTTTATTGCTTAGATGGTTGGACGAGCTCACAGCCCACTTGGTGCTAAGCGGTTACTGGAGCCCATAGACATCTACAACGTAAATGCGCCGCCAACCTTGAGATATAAGTTCTAAGATCTCAGTATAGTTACAACGGCTGCCCCACCTTCATACCGAAACGCGTTATTGCTTCACGGCAGAAATAGGCAGGGTGGTGGTACCTACCCGCGCGAACTCACAATGGTCCTACCACCAGTACTAAGCTCTTCGAATTAGAATTGAAGTACTGATTTAGAGCTACCAAAGTCTTGATTTAATCTTCCAGAAAATTTTTATTAGCTTCATTAAATTAGAAGTGAGAATAAAGCTTATTTTTATATCGCTCAATTAGAGTGATATAAAAATAAGCTACGGATTGTTGCCACGGATTGATAAAAGCAGAATTCCAAGCGTTTTCCGGAAATGAAATATGTGATCGATAACTACTCTAATTGATACTATTTTTATTGGGAATTGTTACGAATTACGTATTATATTTATTTCGAATAAAACATAATAACAACGCTGTTTTCTTTGTTTCAGGGGAATTTTACTACAGAACCAAAGGAGGTACGGCGAAGCTATCAAAAGTTTTGAGAGAGCAATTTACTTTCGACCTTCAATGGCTCGTAAGTTGCCGAGATAAATTTAATTATTAAAAATTACAAAAGTCTTCTCTGAAAATTATGTGATAGCCATTATTAACGGTCTACGTATAATTAATTACATTATTTTATTCAATTACTTCAAGATAGTAGTAAGAATCAGGGCTGCTACGTAATTAATAAGATTAAAATAAAATCTTATACATAAATTTATAGTTACCGTCTTTAAGTTTTGATTTGCTTTAATAATGAGTCCACTCTATCTTATTTAAGAAAAAAAAATGTTTTTTTTTGTTTTTAATTTTTGTGTTGTATTAGAAGCCCACACACATAGGTCCCATCATCATGAGCCGCAAATCGATGCAAATCCGATTGAGATTGCAACCTCTAGGCTTCCTCCTTGAGATGTTTATGGGCTCCAGAAACCACCTAGCATTAAGTAGTGCATAAGCTCGTTCATCCATTAAATTAAAAATCAAGAATAAAATACGTTTCGGTAACCAAAAAATTCTATAAAATTTAATGATTTTGCCATTTTCATAACATAACGACTGTAAAATAATAAAACAGTCAATCTCTGCCTATTTTATTTATCCTCAGTCACTAGCCATGTAGCAATTGTATTGCTAGATTTTTAGATGTTAGATTGCTAGATTTTGTCGTCGTCGTGGCTTAAAGGATAAGACGTCCGGTGAATTCGTATCTAACGATGCAACGGTGTCCGAATCCCGTAGGCGGGTACCAATTTTTATAATGAAATACGTACTTGACAAATGTTCACGATTGACTTCCACGGTGAAGGAATAGCATCGTGTAATAAAAATCAAACCCGAAAAATTATAATTTGCGTAATTACTAGTGGACCACGCCGCTTATTTTGTGCCGCAGTACTGCGTTTCGGTTTGAAGGGTGGAGCAGCCGTTATAACTATACTGAGACCTTAGAACTTATATCTCAAGATGAGTGGCACATTTACGTTATAGATGTCTATGGGCTCCAGTAACTACTTAACACCGGGTGGGCTGTGAGCTCGGCCACTCATTAAAGCAATAAAAAAATAAAGACAGATTAACTATTTTAGTGGCATACGTGAATTTGGGAACTTCGCTAATGGCGGACGGGCGGTTAGCTGAGGCGGCGAGTGCGTTACGCGCTGGGTCGCGCGCGGACGGTATCCGGGTGAGAGATCGACGCGAACACGAAGCCGCACGTGTCTCTGCTTTGGTGCAACTAGCAGCTTTACACTCGCAGCGAGGACATTGGCATAAAGCGCTGTCAGCGTACAAAGACGCCCTGCAAATATTACCAGACAGCAACACTCCTATCGTTGGATGGACCCGACATGTGAGCTGATTATCAATTTTTCTCTGTGAAATCGCACACTACAGTTTTTTTATTAAGTTTCTAGTTTATGGCTTGTGCATTAGTTACGGAATTATTGATTGAAACCTAATTAAGGACACTGGAGTGTACGCTGCGCATAAGGTACTTTTAGAACTATTATGTACATCATCTAATGTCAAGAACATTGTTCGCCTATAATGAGATTTCTGTACAGTTTTAGCAATCTTACTATTTGAATTAAATAATTTTATAGAATTAAATTATTAATTAAAATAGTAAGATTGCTAAAACTGTAAAACCGATTACGGCTCTAACATTAAGCGTTATTAATCTCGAGGTATTTTTTAATGAAACTTATAACTATACGAGTAGAGAACAGCAATTATTTTAAAGATAATTGACATATAAATCGTAAAGTAAATGAAAAAATTTGGACTTGAATTCACAGAATTTTTTATGACTGAACAATAATTAATTTAGGCAGTGGAATTATATGGCTTTTCTTATAATTTGTCTATAGGTTGGTATGGTCTCACTAAAGCTGATGTGAATCAAAAAATAGCGAATGTATTTAAAACATCAGGTGGAATGTCCGTAGTCTAGTTACTGTTGATATTGCGTCTGGGGTCTGGTGACGTCATTACTTGACTATATCGCGATTCGATCTTCAGTATTACTTGTAATAAAAATGAAACAGGTAACAGGATGTATTTATTGGTTTTTCATAATTAGCTACTTAAGACCACATAAATTGATACTAAATAATAATAACGACTTTACAAATATAGGTATTAACTATCTCAAAGAATTTATGAAGCTATAATTTAAAGAAAATATTCTCGCACGGCACTTCGGAATATGTTTGTGTGTAACACAGGAATAAGATAAATATTCTAATATTTTCGAGGGAAAAAATACTGAAAAACCTCCGCAATGATGCTTCTCGACTACTATGAATATTATGCCTTTTTTTGTATTATGGGTTTAATAGGCTGATTTGTTTGCTGGCACTGTGAGCAAGCGATATTAAATTTCAATTCAAAAAATCGATCAAATCTAGTTTATGTATTACGTAAAATACAATGAACGTATATAATAATAGTAATATAAAATAGTGACCGAAATTTTACCTATAAATTTGTATCTGTACAAAATGGCGAATTTATCTTAAGGCGATGCTGAGCTACAATATGACAAAATTCAATAGACAGTGTCAACTTTTAAAGTTTTTATGTAGACCTAAAAATCTTACACAAACGCCTTACAGCGCGCAAGAAAAAATCGGTTAAATTTATGTATTTCGGTTTGAAGGAAGATAAGGCCGTTATTTCATAACAAATTGATATTTCGACCAGATATCTCAAGATGGGCAGCAATCAAGAGTGTTTTGGTATATATAGGCTGAGATATGGCCCCTTTAATAATTTTCTACGTCTAGGTAAAATAAAGGTCATCTATACCAGGAAAGACATGAAATACTTAAACCTGAAATTGTCCCTCAAAAAGCATTTAAATCGTCCAATACTGGCCAGTTTTGATAGTTCGTATATGTAAATCAATAAACGGCACTTGGTTTAGTAGTAACGAGTAAATAGCTACAGTATGTTCGGCGTGTCTCTGTGTATGGTGTAGCTTTGAACATATAGAACGCTTAGCAACTAATATCAATATACAGTCAAAATCTGTTATAACGACATCGAAGGGACTGCTCATATTCAGTCGTAAAAACCGAAAGTCGTAACAACCGGTGATGTTTAATGTGTATCGTGCAAGTACAAACAAATCGATAGGGAATTATTGGAAAAATATATTTACATAATACGCGATTTTTCTTCAATATTAATTTGTTTTCTTTTTCTTTGCAACATTTTGAAAGTTTCACGAATAACCCCACAAAGTTTTGGTGCGTCTTGTGTATAGATAAGTAACAAACTAACTGAAGAGATATGAAGCAGCGGGCTTTGACTACCGCATGCACGTGTTTTGTTTCTAAGAATTAAAAAAGACCCTACACTAAACTAAATCCTATTGTTTTCTTTCCTGATTTTAATAGCCATTGAAGACAAATTTGGATACCTATTCAAATTGTTTACAATACAGCTTAGCCGGTCGTTCTAACAGATCTAATTCTCCGAAATATTAGTTAAATGTGGTCGTTTTATGAGGTATGTCGTTATTACCAGTGTCGTAGAAAGCAATATTTTTAATAAGGCGGTCATATGGCATTCAGCCGGGACCTTTGTTCTTGGTTATTATAACCGGCATGTTGTTCTAAACGATGTCGCAGTAAACGGTTTTGACTGTATATCTATGTAGTTTGGTTCACATCGATATTGGGTTGATGTGTAATACTATACGTTAGGTATGGGTTTACGGAAACAAGCGGTGGTGAGAACGATAAGCGAGGCGTAACCATATTTATATTTTTATTCGACAGCAAAATTTTAATATATTGAATTATGAGCTGTTGACTTATGTTATCTAAGTGAACAGATTGGGCGGTGCTATTCTAAGTCGACACGGCACCCCTAGCAAGCGTTGTGGCCGTATAGCAAATTAGATTCAATAAATAATTAATTATAGTTAATTGGACAGATTTATTTTCTATCAACCGAATCGTAGAATAAAAAGAATTTTCGACATTTCTTAGGAAAGGAATATCCACGAAATTTATACAAAAAAGAACAACTTATGTATAAATATTAAGAAAACTCTACAATTTAGCTGGTTTATGTTGAAATACAACAACTCATACATTAATCATATTAGTTTGATATTTCACACCCGCCCTGGCGAACCAAGTCTAAGAACAAACCCGGGTTGCGCTTAGTTCATAAAAACGTTTTCCTTGTTTCCTCTTTAGCTCTAGACCAAATTTATCATATAATCTATCTATACCGCCACTCATTCATGCTCTGTTCATTTTCTTCAATTAATTTATAAAAGTAGAAATTCTCGATATTACGAAAATTACCTATCTATTTGCCGTTCTCAAATAGATAGGTTAAAACGAAATTAATTACATAATTTATTTAATTAAATATTTATTAATGAAAAGATAAGTAGAATAACCGTAAACCAGAAAAAATAATAAGAAGTACCAGTAAAGCCTGAGGAATCCTGGTTCAAGCTCAAGATCTTCGTTCACAAGGCTACGCAACATTCCTAATGTTGTTCATATATCGCGCATGTTTGTGTGTTTCACAATTGTGGGAATTAATTGAAGCTGCATCTAAATTTTGGAAGAAAAGTTTATTTTCTGCACTCTCATTTCAGCCCTCACAAGAAACTTTAAACGTAAAAACCTTCCATTATGTATATTGTTGAATTGAAATGAATTGATGTTATTAAATTTCGAAGACCGATCGAAGTGTATTATCTACTATTGGTATTACTAGAAAACGGTTTTATTACGCTATCGTGGTACAGCGCACGTACGTATTTTATATCATAGATTTCAGAATGGACAGGCTGAGCACACTTAAGTTCTTGAAATACGGCTTGTTACTGATTGCTAAGTGCTGTCAATATTATGGACGATTAAGCTGACCCGTTCATCAACAACGTTTCCTATAATGATTTTTTTAATTTCAGAACGTGCTATCTATGGCGAGTGAAATATACGTGCAACTTCAACAGTGGCCGCTGGCGGAAAACAGTATTCTTTCAGCCTTGGCCATAGCACCTCAAGACGTACGCACACATGTCACACTTGCACAAATACTTGCGAGAAACGTAAGTAATTCATAAATACACTAATTAAACGCTCTACTGTCAGCTTGCGAAATAAAAATTAAAACCACACACACTTTAGAACCTAAGGTCGAAATTTTAATTGAATAGTAAGAGAAATTGGAAGAGCTTTCCTCTCATCAAACCAGAGTCGAGATGAGCTCGAGATCAGAAGTAGACACGACGGCGGCACCTACCGGTGAGGGTTGGCGATGCGCTCTATCGATTACAGGAAAGTTACTTTAGGATGAATCCGTGGTCACAAATTTCATCATTAATCACTCCACTAATCATCATTTCATCACCTTTCGAATTTACTTTTGAATGTGGTCGTTCAATATAGGATTTTTATTGGCTTCATTAAACGCTCAAGTAAAGCTGCTTGCCAATAATAAAACTAGTAGATATTTGTGTATATTGCTTCAAATATACATAATGTATGAAATTAAAATGTACACACAACTGACGTCACGCAATGTTACAGACGAGTAGAAGTATGGAAGCCGAGCTGTGGTTCAAAAAGGCGCTGCTGTTAGCACCTCAAGATCCTTCTATAAGAGATCAATTTGGTAAGATATTATAGACTCTTTTTGAGTACTTTACGTGCTCGCCGATTTATTATTTACCAGACGTCTGGGAAATAAATAAAAAATAATTATTCATTCTCTGAAATCGAAAATTCCTGGGATTTCAATTTTATCTCCGCTAACGCCCTTGTTGTATAAAATATGTGTAACGAGATTTTTTGTTTTAGAACTCGAATAGCTTCTTAAATAATGTTCGTTCATTATTGTTTACTTATTTAAGTATTGAGACAATTCCAAAACTAATACATGAGTTTTTCAACTCATAATCTTTGATATTTCATTTACTTTTAGAAGCAAAGTAGAAACTTCACATAAGTAATTGTATCAGCAAAATATGAAGAACAATTTTCCAATAAACTTTCCAGACATTTTCTACAATAATGATTCTAAGTATAAAAAGGTTTTCAGTAAGTTAGCCACTACTTGCGTAACTAGAACATTGATTTTACGATAGCCAAACAAGTCACGTACAGAAACTAATAATATATAGGTATTAATATTATACGTATAGTATAATTATTATGTTCTAGTATAATGTACAACGGTTGGGCGTAATTACTAGTGGCATATTATAAGCCCGCATGGGCAGGTACCATCAATTTGCCTGTTTCTGTCACGAAGCAGTCTGCCATTCCGGTTTGAACGATGGATTAGCCATTATACAATATATTAGATTCTTCGATCTAAAGCTTCGAGGTGCGTGGCGACTTTCATGTTGTTTTTTTTATGGGCTCCAGTACCTGTCATGCGATAGATTTTTCATAGCGTTAGGGTTTATTGTGAAACCACATAATTAAGTACTACAATCCTACCTCATTCGGCTAAAATTATACAATATAATGGGGGCATCTCATCTGTTCAAGTAAAAAAAAAAAAGATGTGTGGTGTCGTGGGACACCGGATAGGAACGAAGTTCCTTATTATAAAAATATTAATTTTAAGTTCTATTCGAGGTATAAGGAAAATAAAACTGGAGGTTTCGCAACAGCCCACGGTCATTCGGTAACGTCCGAACTTATTGTGGTACACTTCATTCGCGGTTGTTTGCATAGTGTATTGCGCAAACAAACGCTCTGAGATCGTGGTCAATGAATGATAAAAAAAAAAACTAATTATGTGGTGTCGTGGGATACCAGGTAGGAACGAAGTTCCTTTGGCTAATGTAGAACCGACACAATTTGCAAAAAAAAAATCGTGCTCAATTTTATGTTGGTTTTCTTGATTTTACTCTTAAATTTTGCTGATTAGTTTTTATTTAAGTACAGGAAAGTATTTAGGAAATTCAGTATTTTAGGAAATAATAAATTACGTAAAATAAAAATAAAATCGTAATTCAAATTATCAATTAAAATAACAAAATATGTCTCTTTATTTTTGTTTGACAACATAAAATTACATAGAAATAGAAATAATTACAAAATAGAGAGNAAAATTACATAGAAATAGAAATAATTACAAAATAGAGAGAGAAGGGATGAGAGAACGAAAAGAAAGAGGGAGAAAGAGAAAGGTATTATACACTACTCGCTTGTGTATACGACTGTCGCGCCTGCGCACGTCTCATTTAACGGTTTTATTCCGCGCACTTTTTTCCACGGATTTTTTAACGGTTTTATTCCACGCACTTTTTTCCACGGATTTTTTCTTACTATCACATTTTTTTCAGTTCGGTCGCGCAGCAAAATCCCTATCCCCTCCAAGCCTGCCGTAAGGAACTTCGTTCCAATATGTTATTTTTTGTACGTTATTACAAAGTTAAGTCGTACACTGTGTGCATTACTAATTTGTACGTTATTACAAAGCTAAGTCGTACCCTGTGTGCATTACTAATAAAAATCTTACGTTATGGACGTTTTTTCCCGGTTAGGGTACTCCTCCGCATCGTCCCATAAGGAGCTTCGTTCCAAAAATTGGTAAAAGTCAAAATGTGTACTCGTGAAAAAAATCCTCGAAAAATACGAATGATTAATTAAAAATCAAAAATGGTGACAAACATACCATACCAGTGCCAGTCTTGATCATGTCAAGCACGAAAGGTACGGTCATAACGCTCGTCCGTGAGAGCAATTTCGTCTAAATAATCTTCGAAGTAAAATTCCCAGAATTTTTTGTAATGAAACGTTATAAATTATTCACAAAAAAATACTTGACTAAATAAATTAATTTCGTGAATACTAACGATTATTATTTTCAACCGTTGCTTATTTAGTTTTGAGCATAATGATAAAATGATTATTAAACATTACGAATTGAATAGGCCAAAGACAAATCTCAAGATTAAAATTAAGAAAGAAAAAAGGTAATTTTATCTATACTTTAAGAAAGACGAAACAAAAAAAAAACGGTTCTTTTGATATTTACTTCAATTGTAGACAAAAATTTCCTTTGTAAATTGAATTTTCGTGTCTCTGTCCCTAGAGTAGATTTGGCGGTGATGAGATAGTAATTTCATGATGATTTCATGTTTACATGATGCTACTACAAATGTCCAACGAACTTTTTTTTTCTTGCAATATGGCTTTTTACTGATAACATGCAAATTAAAACTGATTTTATGGTTAAATCTCACGTTTTATATCCCTTGCAATTTTATCCGACGTTTTGAAATAGTTTTGCGTGGTCACGGACGACTATGAGGTGTTAAGCCGACATTGAATGTTGTTGTTACTACGGAAGAAAATACGAGAGCATTCAAGCTAGCCGCCAAAATACACGATATTGCATAAACGATATCAATATGATAAAATGCATTCGTCATTTATTTTTTTAAAGGCAAGGCTCTTAATTACATTATATTACGGGCGTGTTTGTTAATACCACGGGATACAAATACTATGATAATAAGATAAATTTTTTCGTTATTATTCGTATATTAGTTGCATTGCTGGCGGTTAACCAAGCGGACAGGATTCTCAACAGACCATAGTCTTATTATTCTAAGATAATCTATGCTATCAATTCGATTTTTAAATTTTTTTCAAATAATTTATTTGAGAATCGTAGTTTAGAGATAGAAACTACACACAGATTTGTGCGAAAATGATTTTTGCAAAAACAGGTTCGACCGTAATGTGAATGCTACAGCTCGTTTTGGAATCTGAATCTTTGTGATTCGAATTCTATAGGTATATAGCACAGACAGTGTGTCGCGGTAGAAATAGCTTAAATGCCGCCACTTATTTTATTTAAATCAAAGATGTTATACATGTACATATGTGATTATCTTATCATGGTAGGCATGTTTCTGAGATCACATCGTCGCTTCCGCGAATCTGCGGAACAGATGGTCGTGGCTGCGCAGCTGTCGCCTGACAGCGGTGCGAGGGCTGCGGCGGCCGCCAGAGCGCTCCGTGACGCTCGAAGGTGCAGGGCGGCGGAGCGTTGGTACGCTCGGGCGGTACAGTTAAATCCTGAGGTACGGTCTGAAAAACAAATTAATTAACAACCTCGTTAACAATATAATTGATTTCTGTTACAAACTCGTTTGTAGTGGATTATTGGTTATAAAGTATTCTTTTTCTTCACATGCCGCGTAATGGATTGTACGATTCTATATTGTTGGAAATATTTAAAAAAAAAAAAAAAGGTCACACTTAAAGAAGGCCTAAAGTAGACCAAACGAGATCTGTGCCCAACAGTAAATTAAATTCAAAAATATTACCTAGTTTAAAGTTACGTTAATAAAAATAATCTTATCTAATTTTAATCTAATCTTAAAGGTATCTTATAGGTGTGAATAAGGCTTTGTGTTTATATAAAAAGTTCAGACATAAAAGGCATAAAAATGTAGGCATATTTAAATAAATAATATTTGATGCCTTTCCAGATTTATTTATTGCCTCTTAAGTCCGCACGGGTAGGTACCACCATCCTGCCTATTTCTGCCGTGAAGCAGTAAAGCGCTTCAATTTGAAGGGTGGGGCAGCCGTTGTAACTATACTGAGACCTTAGAACTCTTATTTCAAAGTGGGTGGCGGCATTAGATGTCTAAAGCAAAAAAATAAAAGCAGCCCGGCGTAGCATTAGATAATGAGTTGTTATCGCCGCCCATAAACATCAGTTATGCCAGGAATAGAGCTACACCCCCGATCACCCTCTTCGGCCAACCTATACCCTGGGCCAGGAGGGTCAAGTGCCTGGGAGTCACCCTGGATGCATCCATAACATTCCGCCCGCATATAAAACAGTCCGTGACCGTGCCGCATTTATTCTCGGCAGACTCTATCCCATGATATGTAAGCGGAGTAAAATGTCACTTCGGAACAAGGTGACACTTTACAAAACTTGCATAAGGCCCGTCATGACTTACGCGAGTGTGGTGTTCGCTCACGCGGCCCGCACACACATAGACACCCTCCAATCCCTACAATCCCGCTTTTGCAGGTTAGCCGTCGGGGCTCCGTGGTTCGTGAGGAACGTCGACCTACACGACGACCTGGGCCTTGAATCGATCCGCAAACACATGAAGTCAGTGTCGGAACGGTACTTCGATAAGGCTATGCGTCATGATAATCGCCTTATCGTTGCCGCCGCTGATTACTCCCCGAATCCTGATCACGCAGGAGCAAGTCACCGTCGTCGCCCTAGACACGTCCTTACGGATCCATCAGATCCAATAACTCTTACATTAGATACCTTCAGCTCTAATACTAGGAGCAGGCTGAGGAACCCCGGTAACCATACTCGCCGAACTCGACAAATAGGTCGACGTGCAACCTAACCCATGCATCAGCCCGCTGAGTTTCTCGCCGGATCTTCTCAGTGGGTCGCGATTTCGATCCGGTAGTAGGTTCATTCGCGAAGCAATTGCTCTTGAGTTGTTAGGTCTCCTTCGGAGGCGCTCGGGCAGTTGTTAGCAAATCCCACCCCTCCTGGCTGAGCCTTTGCTCGCCCACCTGTTCTGGTGAAGCTGGAAAGGCCTCCGGGCCACCAGTAAGCTTTCAATCATAAAAAAAAAAGTATAGAGCTGAGTAAATAGACGATCTGATTTTTTCTTTAAAGAAGATTTTGTTAACAGGACGCCGAGTACCATTCGAACTTGGGTGCTATTTTGCATCTGAACGGGAAATACACGGCAGCCGCAACCTCATACAGACGGGCGTTACAACTACAACCAAATGATGAAATCACTACAACCAATTTAAAGAGAGTCAGAGCACTCATGCACAGTCAAAGAAGGAAATAATTTTTACACGTCATGTCAATTGCCAAGCTAATTAGTAAAATCAATTGTTTTAATAGACAGTTAAAATAAACTAGAATTGTTTTGTGGTTAAGAAGGCCTCTAAAACTGTCATCGGTCATAGGACCTTTGTGGAGTCGTGTTTCAATTACGATCGATAAATATTTTATTAGATTTTATTACATTAAAATTACTCATGGTTGCTAAATCGAATTCTAATGTAATTCAAAAGGAACCTTACAAAAAAGTTCAGTTTTAGCTAGAAATTGATTAATGTTAATATATTTTTAAAATTATAACGATTTTATACGTGGCTGGATTTAATGATACCGTGTAACTGTGAATATAAAACTAAAAAAAAAAAAAACACCTCATTAATTTATTTCGTCTTCCATAAGAAAATATTATGCTGTTTTTATAGTGAAATAAACGGTAATGGTATAAAGGCTAGTGCTCATTTATTGTGTTGTGCTATTCTTTAGGCTACTTATAACATTCGCGAAAATAAAATTGTAATTCGGGTGAAGCTAATACGTTTTAGAAAAACATTATATCGTAAAAACGATAGCAGTGCTATTTTCAAAGTCAATGAATCTGCTAATTTTCTTGTAGACTACAGTCCTATTTAACACACTCTCCTTCTTTCGTATAGTACATTCCTACATGAGCTATATAAGCTATATATATATACTTACTGTCTTTTGAAGACTATTTACGTATACATAACTATAATTTCCTAACTTTCACGCTGCATCGAAATAAAACCTTGACGTGCAACGAAATGAGTTTGGTGTTGTTGTGAGAAAATTAAATTTCCTTAAATATTACGGTTTAATTAACATTTAATTAACACTCATTACACAAGTAACGAAGAACAGAGTACAAAATTACTCAAAGAAGTTTTTCTTCTCCAATATTTAATAGTTTAAATCTTCATCATCTATCAAGTCATTGTGATATTATTAGCATGCTTAAAACTTTATGTTTACAAATAACAAAACATATCTATATATATTTATGTAGATACGTCATAATGAATAACATTGTTACAACTTTTATGTATCTATGTAACGTCTTTGTAAGTTAAAAAATGTAAATAAATGAATGTAAACGTAAGTATTCATTTCTAATGAAAAATGTTATTTTCTATGTATAAAATAGTTTTGTTGTTTTCTTCTCACATCTGTGACAATAAATATAAATTACGCTTTGTAGTTGTATTATGTAAAATAAACGCCAAAATGTTTATTTATTTATATACTAATAATAGTTTGATGTGATTGTGTTTATACGGTGTGGGGCCATGATATGAAATGAGTATCAATTNAATTCATTTGTAATGAAAAATGTTATTTTCTATGTATAAAATAGTTTTGTTGTTTTCTTCTCACATCTGTGACAATAAATATAAATTACGCTTTGTAGTTGTATTATGTAAAATAAACGCCAAAATGTTTATTTATTTATATACTAATAATAGTTTGATGTGATTGTGTTTATACGGTGTGGGGCCATGATATGAAATGAGTATCAATTGTAAAAAAAAAAGTAGATAGTATGCAAATGAGGTTTCATTGCTAAAATAAACACAATCACTTGCAAGTATTATCTTTACGATTCAATTAAGCTGAAATATTTGGACTCAGAAATTGTGTTTCAACAAAAATATATACCAGTTTAATACCTATGTACATATTTCAATAAACGCAAATATTATGCTTTAATGAAGATAAAATTAAATACATTCGATATTAATCCGTGAAATTCCGAGTAGACTAAAGCTATGAAATCGGATTCTACTACTTATATGGAATTGCTTGCATACAGTTAAACAAAATCTATGTTTAAAGGCTTCGTCAAACAGATCGCGTACTTAGCGTGCGTCAGAGCGCTAAACTAACGCCGCGCTATGACGCGCGCTAATAACGCGTTCTGTTTGACGAAGCCTTAAATTTAAATAATACGAGCTATTATATCTTACCCTCAACATGCAACGATTTGAAGTTTTAGTAACTCTATTTTATAAACGAATATATTATCAATATATTATCTACCTTAATAAATTATATAGACCAATTACTTCCGAAGCATTTCACTCAAGAAGAATACAATGTCAACTTCCAATAAACATTAAGTTTGAATCATTTTTTTTAAATAATAAATCATGGAATTGTATTTAAGTAAATATTTTTGTTTGTTTAAGTACTTATAGTTAAATAGGTAAGTATGTTCGCGTTATGCAAGTAAACCTGCAAATTCCCAAAGTGATATAAATTATTGTATGTTGATAATTTTGTAAATAAAAGCTTCGATATTTTATGAATTTAATTATTTATTCCCTCCAAATTATCATTCCTCGAGCGATATCCGAGCTTGTTCGAATGAAATATTTAAATTCAATTATGCATTTAAAAATACACATTCGGTTATAAAAAATTTGCCTACTTGGTGTTACTCGGTGTTCGTTTTATTCCCTATGAAACGAAGCCTTGGGCTGGTTTTCAACCCGGGATCCACAGATATCACAACGTGAATGTTGCCACCCGTCTTGAGACATGAGATCAAAGTCTCAATTGTATTATGTAATGGCTGTTTCAGCCTTCAAGCTGTGACTACTAAGCGGTAGAAATAGGTAGATGTTCAAGTTAGCTCACAATTCGCCGTTCCAAAATCGCAGTTCACACAATCGCCGGTAATCACTTTAAACAGGTTTTGATATTTATACATACTCGTATAACTAACTATACAATCATTATACGTATGTAAAATTATATACCAGTACATACATATATGTGTATCGGAAAATCGAAAGATCCAGGTACGTCATAATACACTATTATAATACACGTCAGCTACCAGCTTTAAAACTATTCACAATTGGAAACACGAAGCTCATAGATATTACGAAAGACAACATTTCAGATTCACAAAGATTTAAATCTAAACACCTTAGTAGATCAGTTCAATACTCGTACACTTTTTGCAGCTCTGCATTTCAACAAAGCTTTAAAAGTGCTAGCGTTTTCACTGAACGACACTTTCGGGTTTCCAATTACAAAGATATTTTAAAAACAATAATCCCAAAACGTTATGTGAAGGAGATGTTATCAATTTTGATCAATATAAAAGCCGAATTCATTATGTGGCCAGTCATTGACCACGTAAGTCGACCAAGCGCATCATCTTGAATACTATCTCACGCCAAATGAAGTCGAAACTTTTGCTGAATTAGAATAATTACGACTTCCCCACACGATTGCTAATCTGCGACTAAAATAGACAGTATTGTGTTACCAACCCGTGTGGGTTTCAACCCTTTAAATATCCTACAGTATAACTTTGCACTCTAAGCGCCGTGTTTAAAGCCTAAATGATATTTGAGCCGCGTGGCCTTTTAGCCGAATCGAGCGCTTTGGTTGAATCCAATAGAAAGTTGTAGTTTTTATCATGACTCGTGGTCCCGCAGTAGTCGAAATTCGTCTATAATTTATTGAAATTATAAGTTTGAACATTATTATTATGGTTCTATTGTCAAATACTATCACACTTCTTAACAGATTTCGCCAAGGCTACACTATAGATAAATAATATTAAAGATGTGGAAACAATATTAACCTATTCTCAATTTCACCGCAGACTTTAAGCAATAATAAAAATTTGACAGTAAGTAAGCAAAGAGTATAATATATGTATGTGTGTCAAATACATGGTAGTGTGTGTAATGTTTTTTTTAATTGCTTTAGTATATTATTAATGCACAATTAAAAAAAAAAACAAATAACATTCCGCACTCCTTCGCTATAAGCGTGGGAAATTTCATACTTCTCCGACCGCGCAATTTTCGTAAAAAGGGGTACAAAGTTTTTGCTTCACGTATTAATATAGAGATTATAGCCTTTTAAAATATCTTAAAAACTGGATGGTAAAAGTCTCTAAGTTTTATCTGCCGTGTAAATTATCACATTTTATAAATTTTAGAATGAAAATCTAATATTGTTGATAAAACATGTCTATATGTTGAAACATGTTGAAGCACTGTCGTGATATTCATGGGGGTCATTTAATCACGTGAGTCGACATGTGTCCATACTTCAGGCTTCACTTAAGTAATTTTATTGATTTATAAGAATTGGCTATTGCTACATTTGAAAGTGCACTCAATAGACTTCGATTCATTGTTGACCGTGTACCTTTTTGTGTTTAACTGTTGCTTAACATATGTACCTATTTAAATAAAATAAATGATAAACTAACCTAACTTCTTATTCTTTCGAAAAAAAAAACCCGGATTACACATTTAATAATTTTGTCTCAGCGATAAACAGAATTTTTATAATTTCACAGTCTCCTCGCGTCCGCCCTCATAGAGTTGGAACACATTAGAAATTCAAAACGCAACAAGTACGTCAACAAAACTGAATTTACAATCAAAAGAAACAGAAGCAGGGGCCCGCCTGAACGGCGTGTCACAGGTTCATTAATATTAATAGTCGACGGAAAACCCACTGGCTACTGCTCTCACTTCATGCATAATTTCAGTTCCACGTCCCCAACAAATTTTAATTGCTTGAGTTTACATTGCAACTTTGTTCGGAATAACGCTGACAAATATAACGCGCGCTTCGTTGTTGAAAAACAATAGAAAAAATATTTTAGTTCCCTAGTTTGTTGTATTATCTATGGTTGCCTGCAATCAGGTGGGCTATGAATTAGTTTATCTATACGAATAAAAATGAATCGACTATTTTTAAAGTGCCATTGAGAACGACGCACTAGATCCTTACGTTAACCCTAACGATAGATAGTGATGCGTTCGCACAGAATGCATGCAAAATAATTTTATGCTTGCACCGGCGATTGAAGTATACGTGTAGATATAAATCGAGCTTTATAATGCAGTGCATGATGCGGGTTGTATTGAGAGAGCTTCAATCGAATGTGCAATCGACAAAATTTTGCGCGAGGTGTTTGTTTTCGTTGGAGCTTCTTATATAATTTTCATTATACGATTTGAAAAACATTTCTTATTTATTCAAATTTTTATGTAATTAAATTTTTCCATGCAATACTCGAAATTCAACGATAAAAATCGTTTTCGAAGTATTTTTAATGATTCAAAATCCGCAGTAACCGAGGAAATTACTGCAGTCTTTCCTCTTGGGCACAGTATATTTTACGGCTGTGTCCCATGAGACCCGTAAGTTCAGAGACCCGATGCTTTGACTCGAAAACGCGATCTTTTCTCGACCGCAGCTAACATTTCAAGAACTAATGAGCAATTGGTTTTTTCGCAACACGAGATACCTTCTAATGAACTAAGAACGTTCATTGATGACTGGGTGTGAATGTTGTAGTTATTATTTAAAAATTAAAATTCCTGCACCGATATTATACTTTTTTCATTAAAACTATATTCTACATACTTTTGCAGGACGAAGGCATCAAATAAATACAGTGCAATACACAATAATTTAGACAATTAGTAATTTCTCTAGGTATCCCTGTCCAGGCAGAGGGGTTCGTTCCGAGGCCTGTTCTGTGCCCTGTTAGGGGATACGACATCCCCTCCTCTCTTTCTGGTTTTTCTAAGTCGAAGACAATTAAAGTTTAGAGCGGTTCGAATACTGCANACGCCTTCAGCTCTAGGAGCAGGCTTAGGGACCTCGGTAA